CTGAAAGAGTGACCGCTGGCCTGTAAATGAGTGAAAACTGCAGAGTTCTGGCCATTAGATGTAGCTCGTCTGTGTTGGGACATTCTTCATTCTTTTTTTTTTTTTATCCATATACTACATAAAGTGGGATACTGGGAACACACAAACCAGTTATTCATTAATTCAAATATATTGAAATTCTGGGACCTGGTAATATTTAAAACTACACAATTCATGTTTAAGGTCCGAAATCAAAAACTCCCACACAATAAACAGGAAATGTTTGGTGACAGAGAGGGGGGTTATAATTTAAGAGGTGAAGGATATTTTAAAAAACAACATATTAGAACAACCAGGAAGAGTTTTTATTTATCAGTGTGTGGAGTAAATGTCTGGAATGGACTGAATGATGAGTTAAAAAAATTACAAATGTAAACCAATTTAAAAAACTGATTAAAGCAGAGCTCATTTCAAAATATGCTATATAAGATGTTTAATGTTCAATTGTCTAATATGTAACTGATGATATAAATAGAACTTAAAATAATTCTACATAGTTAAACATGATGTAAAATGGAAACAAGTTGTCTCTTTTTGATGTTCTGAAAGTTAATTGATAAAACATTAACAGGTAGGAAAGAGGCAGGACTTTATAAGATGTATCTTCTACCTGCTCCTTTTCSAACAGAAAATATAAAATTTTGCATGTCACATGGGCAAAATAATTTACATTACATTTTATTTCTTAAGTTTGTTTCATTCTATTTATTTTTCTTTTCTTTTTGATTGTTTTAATGTCTGTTCGAAATAAATAAATTTAATTTAATTCCTGTATGAATTAGGGATGCACGTTACCAATTAATTAATCTGAAGTTGATTTATGTTATAGATTGACTAACAGTTAATTAATAAGCAGCCATTTGTTTTCTATTGAATCAAGAGGGTCTTTTCATAAAACGAAGGATTTTTTAAAATAATATGCTGAATAAAAAAACAAACATAAATATTTTCACAGTTGATTTTTCAGCTGTATTAAACACTGACTGGAAAAAATAAAACCAAACGTGGATTTCTCATGTATTAATAAACTTGGTTATACAGTAGATATAAAACAGATAAAACTAATAAAATGTGATTTTTAGATGTAAAACTAGTATAATTTATTATTATAATTGAAACTTATTTGCATTTAGAAGTGTTGATTTTTCTCTAATTATTTACATTTTGTTTCCTTCTGGTTCTGTCTGACTGAATGACCCGGTTCTGAAGCAGCCCCCCCTCCCCCAGGAGTTCTGCTGCGTCATTTTTTTTTCCCTTCATCCTGAACCGTTTTGCTGTTTATCAAATAAGTTTGAGCCTCGGTCAGAAAAAAAGACGAATGTTTTATATTTCTGGTCTGAGAGGAGGTCGACTGAGGTCGACTGAGGGACCTTTTTTTTGTTTTTGTTTTTCGTCACGATGTGTTTCCTCCTCACGACGTGTTTCCTCCTCACGACGTGTTTCCTCCTCACGACGCGGCGCTGCAACAAATCAGACGTATTTCAAAATAATTAAATGTAGCAAATACAATTTTAAATCATATCTCTGGATCTACTTGTCCTAACAACACAATTTAAAAACTGGTTTAAAGTTCAAAGTCTACTTGTCACTGGAGAGTCTCAGAGAGGGCGCATCTTTACAGGTAGAGTTTTTTTTCTTCCTAAACTTTATTTAGGTCAGCCAGCATTGACAACACTCTGCGGGCGACGTGCACGGCGAGGGACGCTTCAAACGTGGGACACAACGAACCGATAATGAAACTCGTTGCAACACTTTTAATAATCGATTTGATAGATTCGTTGTTGCAGCCCTACTCACATCTGTTGTTACTTACTTTGTTTCAGGACTTTATGTGTCGTCAGTCAGCAGCTGTGGTCAGTGTGTTCATCACAACAGTCTAGGGTTGGGCATCATCGTATCGTCTGCGATTAATCGTCAGAAAAACAATCGATTATTATTTGGCATTTGATGATTAATGTGATTAATGCCACCGGTCAGTCAAATCGGTGCTCCACTCCACTTCAAATATGATGAACATTTAAACTAAAGTTCTGTTGTTTATTTATCAACACAATTTAAATTTTGAAATAGAGCCTGAGGTCTGTGATTTTTGACACAGTTTGAAAAAGATTTTTACGAAGAGCAAATCTTTCCCACTAAATTGGTCATGTGACCAGGACATACTCCAGGGGATTAATCATCAAATTAATCGTTATGGCTAAATACCACCATTAATCGTGCTTAATTCTTTTGCCAATATCGCCCAACCCTACAACAGTCACAGGTGAACTTTAGGGCTGGTTAAAAAAAATCTATTTACCGTATTTTTCGGACTATAAGCCGCACCCCCAACATAAAAAAAACAGTACACCCAAATTTGCTGTCAAAAAAGAGAATTCAAC